TTCCTGAAAAATACGACCCCCTAATTCCATCTTCAAGTACGACCCCCCTGTTACCTCTTCCCTAGATTTTTCCAACCTCCTACCACTTTGTCTATTTTTTCCCAAAAAGTTTCTGGTTTTTTTTACAAAATTTTGCTGTCGAGCGGGGGGGGGGTCGCAGTACCTACGTACGTCCCAAGCACGTCCAGCACTCTGGCGCTGGTGTAGCATACTGACAATACGTACGAGGAAGGGGCGATGATAGGAGCTACGATCACCGCCCCAAGGGCCCCATGAATTTATAAACAAACAAGAGGACTCACGAAGCCGCGTGACGATATTAATAAACAGATGAAAGTACATTCCCGGACTTTTCTGATCGTAGGAGCACATTTGCTTGCAATTGGGAAGCCCTATCTAGAAGTTACACCTTCCAAACCTGCGTGAAAAGCCCCATGCATGGCGCATTGCAGAGGTGATGCCAATTGGCGCCCAATGGCGGCCTATTTCCTGATACCCTTTGCGGAAACATGTGTTTTAGAAGCATACCGAAGTCTTCAAGCCAACTGGAGGTTTCCTGGACACAGAGTTGTTGATTTTTCGGTGTCGTGGGGGGTGATTACAAAATGATCACAACGGGGAATTTTTCTTCGAATAGGTAGGTCTTGTGAAGAATATTAAAGATACCTTGTCTGGAAAGTAGAAATCTGCCTCCCATTTCCGGCACAGTCTTTTTTTTACGAGAGGTGTGTGTTATGTTTTGAAGCGGGGGTCCAGAAGACGCAAAGACGTTTGTTAGCGACTCGCGGTTCGCAAAAATGATCACAGATGGATCACAAGATGATCACAACGGGGAAAATCTCTGGAACCGGAACGTTTTTGAAATCGCTCAATTCAGGTGATAAGAGCCAACCTAGCTCTACTCATTCCCACTTACCCCTCTCCGATAGCTTCACTTTCAACGAAGTTATGGGTGTTCAAATGAGGGGTACTTTTCACGTGTTTGGCTTGAAATTGGCTCCAAACCGTAAAATAGCGCGCACCAATGCGCTTGTATGAGCGCGCTGACCGCGAACAGCCAAAATTCAAAAGTAATCCATAGTTCCGTTTCCAGCTGAGCGGTGAGTTTTTTCTTATCCATTTTGATTAGTAAATTATTATTGTTTGTTTTTTGTTGAGCTTTTGATTTTTGTTTTGTTGAGTTTGGTTTTGTTGTGAGGAAATTGCTCAGGATTCAATTTCTACGGTTTCATAGGTAGCTTTTGCAATGGATTCTTTTCTAGATTTTGCGGATTAGTGGATTGGGATTTATCTAGACCAGATGAGGAGGGTTGGTTGGGCGAAGTGTCTTGAAGTTTTTTTGTGAGGAAGGAGGAAAAAGTTTCAGCAATATTTTTTTTTAGTTTTTGGCCTAGGAATAGTTCGATAGTGCCTAGTTCTATTTATTGTCATCTACATCGTCCCTTTTGAGCTTCTTTTACTTGTACCGTGTATCACCGCTCTCTCCACTTCAACATGGGCCATGCGTTTACGACCCCCCCCCCCCCATTCCATCGCAGCAATACCCGGACCCCCTGCTTGTTGTGTGATGATCACAAGGATGGCTTCCTTTCCCGCTGAGGCCGGCTCGTCCTGGCTGGTTTGTCGCTTCTACCCTCCTTCTTTCTCATCCCCAATTTCTTGCTATCTACACAGAATGCAGTGCGACACAGAGCAACGCGAACTCTACGTTGTCAAGCCTTTGCGAGACCTGAAGGCAAATGGCAATCCCAAGGCGTACAGGGTCGTTCACGAGAAAGGGGTAATCCACAAGAGTGTGCTCGATGAGACAAATTAAAGACACCAGGTAATGCAACCGAGAGCCAGATTATAAGGACTTACGTTATTGTACTTCCCAGAAACCTTCATTAGACCCAGTTACTGTCTGGATGGTAAAGAGAAAATTTCTGAGAGAAAGTCATGGTAAGATACCTCGTCCGCAGCCGCTGTCTCCACGTTTCGCCGTCACACAGTGACAGTGCGCATCGCTCTCGCGCCATGGCGTTAGTACTCGCACTTCTCTTCCGATCGCCGCTGCATTCTTACCGCTTAATTCTCTTAATTTGCAAAGACCCGCTCTAATGTCAGCGTCATGATCACTGCATTGCCTCACTGATTTTGGGACGGATGCCGCTCGCTAATTCAATGAAGCATTCTTTTCTTGGCTATGTCGATTGGAAGATCAGTTGAAAAGTGAGGAAAATGGAAAGATGATATTAGTATCAGGGGGATGTATCGAAAGTCTATCTGTCTCTCGTTCCTGTTAGCACTAAACAAAATTTCAAGGAGTACTGTAAGTTTAATAGACAGATGCTCATCACGCTTCGATGGGTATCAGTGTCTGACGAGGGACTTTAAAGCACGCTGCCAATGTTTTTTGTGACGATGGATTCCTTCACCTTGGAGGAACTTCTAATAGTTTCTTTCTCTATTCGATTTCGCCCGAACGCTCCATCGACACCGAGGCAGGCGACATACTCTCGTGTTCTTCTCGCTCCGTTCCCTGTCCACTAACTTCTCCCCACTCTTTGCCGGTACAAGGCCGCAGTCCAGTCGGACCCTCATCTCCCGGTTCTCCGAGTTCTCATTTGGGAAGCATCGCCCATCTAATTGCAATTTCCGCCCAATTACCTGCAAATATACCACGTCAATATTCTAGCCTGCTCGTTGTCAAACAACATTCCAGAAAATAGATGTGTGAGAAACATAGCAATTGACCAGTGTAATATAACAAGCAAACAAGTCATAACCGATTTAAGAGTAGGCATGGATAGTCAGTCATTGTGATGTCACCGTGTCTTTCGGGATTGTGGGAAATGGTCTACTTGTAGACCCTTTGCCGCCGCTTCGGAGCAATCAAACTTTCCTGGCGGCGTCACAAGCGCTCTTGTAAGTCGTGTTTGCTCGTGGAGACAATTATATGACGGCCCTGCTGCATTAGTAACTTCAAGAGCTCGTGGGCACTTACCTTGCTCCTTGTGCAAAATCCTAAGGGTAATAGATGGGCATGAGTTCGCAAAAGATGCCGTTATGCAACATGCGACAAGCACTCAATAAAAAGGATAAAGGGCAAAGTTTTAGCCCCTATTAAATATCTCTCTGGGATGCAACACGCATTCTACTCGTTCAAGTGGCTTATCGAATGCGATGTGGCCTAAAGAATGAGGGGGCCGGCCTATGTTGTTCCCAGTGTTCTTATCTTATATTCTTATCAGTGAAAGCCCCAGTCGCTTTCTTATCTCTCGCACACGATCCGGCTCGCTGGTAAGAGCCTTTGTGTGGCCTAGGCGGCGAGTCGACTTTGGATTTGAAGCCATGACCGTGTGAGTAGTGAGCGTGCCATTTGCCACTACACCACTTCCCACTCAGTATCGCGCTCAAGGTTTAGCGCTCATAACAAACTCAACTCTGCCATGGCAAAACACCTAATTTGGAAAAATATGAAAAGTCGCTCACACTAAAATTTGTCTTCGGTCGTACTGATTAGTGCTATCGGATAGCGCCGGACAATACTTTGGGCCATGCGAATCGACAAACGATCAGCAACTATTTTCGCATTAACGTGCATCGTGCCGACTGTTGCTTCCAAAGTGAGGCGAGCGACTCGAAGGGCTCCTACTACGTCCATATTTGGACCGGCAATGCCAATCTGTAAAAGACTTACTAAGAAGAAAAAAGTAAGAGTCTCAAAAAAGTTGAAAGGGATGTTCCGAAGGAAAAAAGTGCGAGTTATGAAACAGGGTTGAAAAGGCAATGAGAACAAGACGATATAAACCGCAGTGGAGGGGAAGAATCTCGCTGGCATAAGCAGCAAAGGTTACAATTATCATAATCGGGTAACACACACCTGATGAATTCTCGTGTTCATCTCTTTGACTTGTGTTTTGATATCCTTTTCATGACTCAACGCCGAGGCATAAACGACGAATTCTGGTTTTCGTTCATGCTGAAACTCAATAGATTTTATATTAGAGAATACTCTAGTACTGTTTCAAAATAGATCAGTGCCTTCACTTCCAGAGGATAAACTTTGACAACGTGTTGATCAGGTGAACGAGCTCGCAATCAAAAGTAAATATGAGTGGTGGCGAAATGTTATCAGGAAGGACGTAAACGAAATTTCCTCACATCCACAGTTATATCTCATTCTATTCTTTAGACTCCAGGGAGGATGGTGCCGACTGTTGCTTGCAAAGTGAGGCGAGCGGCAAGTTGGAATTGGTGTAGCCAGTCGCTTTACGTCAAGTGGTTTTCACCTGTAGCTTTTCATGGGAAGGTTACAGGTACTCGGGAGGGCAACGTACAAAGAGCTCACTATAACAAGGGAACGGGTATGAGACATCATATCCACGATGCGGCGCGACGCGACCAAGACAGTCTTCCAACCGCATTCTAAGACCATACACATTGACGACAAGCTGGGCTCTTGTCTCCGTAGACCTAGTCCTTCCTATATGCGATGTAAAAGGGTCCACAGCTACAGTGGCGTACCACTTTTTCAAAAGTGCACGTGAACGGGCTGGAGTGTAGTGATTTCAGGGTAACGTTGCTGGACTCCGCCTGCCGCTGCCGTATATTGCCATACGCCAGACCATAGCCAAACTAAATATTTGCCTGCGCCCTCTCAGCTCTGCCTGTTCTCCGACTCTGACTGAGGGTTTGCTGCGCAGCTGAAGCAAGCATTGTACTTGAAGATAGCGCGGTCAGAATGGAGGGGAGGGACATTATCCGGATATGACTATCTGCCCATCCGCCTCGCACATTGCATTTACATTACCCCATTTCTTCCTTACAGGCACACTGTGCCGTCCTCAGAGATGACGGCACAGTTTGTCTCCAAGGAAGAAATGCTGTAATTGAATAAGCTGGTTGGGGAAGATCCGGGGGTATAGCCTTACTTAACATAAGTAACTCGCGACGAGCGAGTTTCTCACCAGGGAAGGATGGGAGCTTGCAACGGCCGTTTCAAAAGCGGTGTATGCCGATTAATGCACCTTTGAGCAACAGGTGTGAAGAAAACCTTCTTCCGTATTTGCTG